CCTGCGGCCCGCGGCCCCGCGCGCGGGGGAAGGTGAGCGGGGCCGCCGCGGCGGAGCTGCCGCTGCCTCCCGGGGCCCTCCCCGGCCCCTTCCCCGGTGGTTCCCCGTTCCAGGCCTTCCCCGAGTCTTTGCTTCCCTCCTCTGCGATCCTTCCCTGAATCTCTTTTCCCCGCTCCTCACCCCCATTTCTGAAGCTTCCTCAGGGCCCGCCCCGGGAAGCAGGAGGGGTCAGGCCATGGTTGCCACACCCAGCCTTGCACTTGGTTTGACTCTGGTTTGCTGCTTGCACCTGGTTTTAAAGGCCTCGAATTATTTCTCTTCTATAATAGGGTAGAAATGAAAGCAATTAATTGACCCTGTGGGCTCCCTCTCCTGCTCAAGCAGTGGTTTGGTTCCCTGCTGCCTCTGCCCTCCTAATGTGCTGGGGTGCTCAGTCCACAGGTTGGTCACCTACATCTTTGTCTATGAAGACCTGACCTCCTTGACCTGTGGTGCCATCATCATCTGGTATTTTGGTGGCAGCTTTGAGAAGAACTTTGGCACAGTGAAGCACTGCTTCCTCACCCTGGCCTTCGCCGTCCTCTCGGCCCTCTTGTTCCTCTTGCTTGGGACTGTTGTCTCCAGGGTGTCCCAGGTGGAAGATGCCAAAGGGTTCCTGCCAGTGGCTTTTGCCATGCTGGGGGTGTCCAGCACCCGCTCACAGGTGAAGAGGACTCTGTTCTTCGGGGTCAGGGTTCCAGTGGTGCTGGTGCCATGGTTCCTGCTCTCTGTGGCCTGGTTTATCCCCCACTCTTCTCTCCTGGGTAACCTGAGTGGGCTTCTGGTGGGGAAAGCCTGTATCCTTGTGGTTTGCAGAGCAGGGTTGCTGGTTCCAGAGAGGGAGGATATGCACTGGCTTCCTGGTGTCTCCTGGGCTCTTGCTCTGCTTCACATTCTGGCCTTGCTGCTCCTCATCACACCCAGCTCTGCACTTGTTTTCCACCTCATGCTTCCTCTTCCCCTGTGGCTTTAGTGCAGGCAGGGAGCTGAGGAGGGCCATGGTCTATGGACATGGTGCTGGCTAGAACTGGGAGAATTATCCAGGGAAAGTGGTTTGTGGCCAGAGGGGACTGGTTGTGGCTTTGTCAGAAACCAGTGTGTTTTGTCTGCACTCCTTAACCTGCCTCTGGCTTCAGATGGGCTCAGCTGCTGTTCCTGCCTGGATTTCCCGGAGTCTGTGGGCTCCAAGCTGGACCATGTGTTCCCTTTCAGCCTGCTAAAGAGGATTCCAGGGCTGAAATACATCCCAGGGGCCTTGGCAGAGAGAAGAGCCTTCGAAGGCAGCAAGAAGTAAGTACAGGAGTTCCTGTGAAAGATCTTACGATATAGGGAATTTGGAGGCATTGAATCACCTCTCAAAGCTGTGTGTGCTTGTCATGCTGAGCCTCAGGGGGACCTGCTGGTTAGGTGCTGTTACCCTGGTGGCAGTGCTGTGGCTGATGGGTTATCACACATCACCTCAACAGGGTGTTTCAGTGAAAGCTCCAGAGAGGGGACAGAGCTCAGTGCCAGGCAGGGTGTGCACTGGGAGCTGTCTCAGCTCAGCTGACATGGAAGCCAGGTTGTGCAGTCCTGCCATAACAGGAGAACTTCTGGGTTAATTCCTGGCTGTGTTACTCCCTGGGATGTGATCTTTATCTTTCCTTGACCCACCTTGCCTCCCAGGAGTGCTGTCAAGTGAGTTGTGTCCAAACCTATGTCAGAGCAGAGCATTATCAATTTGAGATATCACTTGTGATGGTCAATGAGACCTTTCAGTGCATGTTTTCAGTGTCAAGGCAAGATTACCTTACCAAAAAGAAGCTGTGGGGCCCATGGCTGACATTCAGGGTTTGTTTTAAGTCTGTGTATATTAGAAACCAGGAGAACTCACTTATATTGTAAAAAGCTTGGGAATCTAGGTGAGATTTTTCACTGCTCTAAGATGTTGTTTTGGTTTCACAGAGGAAGGAGATGGTTTCTCTTAAGGGTTAAATTCTGTGCACTGTTTAAGTCATCAGCTCACTGTAAAGTATTTTTTGAACTGGACGCTTTCCCAAGTCACCCATGGGGGAACCATAAACCCACCCCCTCTCCTGCCGCTGGGAGGTACCCCCGGTGCCTGCAGGGGGCCCGGCAGATCCACTGGTGGTTTTACCCCCTCTCCTCAGCGCAGGGGCTGCCTGGGGAGCAGGGCTGCCCTGCTGGGCCTGTCTCTGCATCAGCCTGGTGCATGTGCTGGGAACTGCTGGGCAGCGTCTCAGCCCTGTCCAGACCTGCTTGCTTTACGTGTGATGACATAAATAGGCTGTTCTGGCTCAAAGGTATTTACATAAACATTTGACTATCAAGCAGGGTGTGGGAAGGTGTTTTTAGGATGTTTCCATTTCTGCAGCTACATTTGCATGTCTCTGTGTCTTAGACACCAATCCTGTGTGTGTTCCTGGGGCTTAATTTTTATTATTTTGATTCTTATTCCCAAGTAACAGGCCTTGATGGTTTGGGTTTGTTTTGTTTTTTTGTTGTTTTTTTTTAATTTTCATAAGACTTAAGGCATCAACTTGCCACCAAACAGGAGACATTTCTGGGAGGTCCAGGCTTTCACAGAGTCACAGAGTGGTTGTGGTTGGAAGTGACCTCTGAAGATCATCTAGTGCAACTCCTCTGCTAGAGCGGGATCCCCTACAGCAGATCCCACAGGAACATGTCCAAACGGGTTTGGAATGTCTCCAGAGAAGGAGACTCCACAACCTCTCGGCTCTGTCAGCCTCACAGGAAAGAAGTTTTTCCTTATGTTTAATTTGAACCTCCTGTGCTTTAACATCGTATTTATGTCCATAAATAAAACAAAGCAAAAAAACCCAAAACCACACCCACATCCCACAGAATAAAAATAATAAAAATCCAAGCCCCCAAACCCCAGCATGAACCAGTCCCTTAGTTTTGCTGGGAATCTGGCAGTCATGGTCTGCATGAATTTGGCTTTGGTGCTCAGCACTCAGTGCTGGGATGGGCCAAGCAGTGCTCCTGTGCTCCCAGAGGATTTGGCTCCAAGGCAGATTCCCTGTTTCAGTGGGATAAGTCACCTTCTGCTGGCAAAGGCTGTTTCTAGACCTTGCTTCTAAACTATTAATTTTATTTCTAATTCTCCTTCCATTTTCAGTCCATACCCTGGGCTCTAAACCCAAGGCCTTTTTGGCCTGCTAGACAGAAGGTGTCTCCAGGCAGTTGTGATTCCTCCTGATAATGACTGAGATGTGGTTCAGTGGAAGGCAGGAAGGATGGCACAGACATCTGAAAGCACTTTGCCATTGGGCTTGAGTGTTCCCTGCACAGAGACTGGGGTCCAGAACTGTGCTTGTTCAGTGGCGTGGAACTGGTGTAGGTTGGGAGGGGGAACATCTGTCCTGGGAGGCCAGTGAACCTGGTTTACTCAAGTGCTGCTTATAGTAAGAGCTTCTCTAGTTGTAGCAAGGCTCTCTGCTGGTCTGCAGTGACCTTTCTGAGCCCTGGGCAGGAGGAAATCTCCCCCAGGGCACTTTCAGTGCTGATTAGGCACTGCCAGTTCTGAACACTTCTGTTTTCTTCCTGCCCAGGATTAACGCTGTGCCAGGCACCTACCCCTCCCAAAGCTGCCACTGCCCTTTGCCTCCAGGTATTCCCACTTTCCAGCTGCAGCACCTTCACAGCCAGAGCTGCACCCAGGGACATGAAGGATCTCAGCAGGGCCAGGCTGCAGGACACAGCCTCCCTCCTTCCCCCCACCAAGCCAGAGGTGCCTTCAGAGACCCCCTCCTGCCTGGAGCCTCACCTGGACGCTGCTGCCAGCCGGGCAAGTCCTCTCTCCCACAGCATGTCTGTGCAGTGGATCCACAGGCAGCCACAGGCCTGGCCCCCCTGGCTGGGGTTCCGGAAGCATCAGGACATCCAGCAGCTGCAGCAGCTCCTGTTTCAGCTGAATTTCTGAGCATCCAGGTGTACTGACCCTCCAGAAAGCAGCAGGGCTCTGGTGCTGTGGCAGGACCCTGGTGTGCTGCTCGGGCAGCCGGCGGCACGGGCTGGTAGCTCCACTGCCTACTCTGATTATACTGCCTTTATAATTCTTATTTTGAATTATTTTTGATATTGTGGGGTGTGGGGACTGTATCACTGCTGTGCTCTTCTCATTCACTTCGGGTCTTGTTTCCATTGCTGTGTTTAGCAGCTGCCACTGCAGTGCCAGGGCCTCAGCCCCCCAGGAACCTGGGAATTACCGGGGGGGGATCTGGGGTCCCCGGAGGCTGCAGCAACAAGGACACGTGCTGCACCGAGGCACTCGGCCTCCTGCCCTACCGATCGGTGTGAGGCAGCAACGAGGCCACCAGC